CATGCGCACCCAACCTTAGCTGTAACACAATATGTAGGGGCAGAAGGAAGGAGCAAAAGGAGTCACTGAGGGAACACATAAAGGTTTATTGACAAGGATGCTCCTCCCACATTACTTAAGATAATGAACAATTAGGAATAACATCTAACAGTAGAGACTTGGTTAAAAATGTGTGCTACAGGCGACGCCCGTAGCTCAGTGGGTAGGGGGCCGGCCACATACACTGAGGCTGGTGGGTTTGAACCTGGCCCAGGCCAGCTAAAAAGATCAATGACAACTGCAACAACAACAACAAAATAACTAGGTGTTTTGACAGTTGCCTAAAGTCCCATCTACTTGGGAGGCTGAGGCAAGAAAATAGCTTAAGCTCAAGAGTTTGAGGTTGCTGTGAGCTGTGACAACACAGCACTCTACCAAGGGTGACACAGTGAGAGTCTGTCTCAAAAAAAAAAATGTGTGCTACATTCATGACAGAATATGTTAAAATGAAGGTATGCAAGAATTTTTATTTAAAGAAAATTCCTTTAGAGACAGGAGTTTTTTTGAGGGGGGAAGACAGCGTCTCAAGCTGTTGCCCTGGGTAGAGTGCCATGGTGTCACAGGTCACAGCAACCTCCAACTCTTGGGCTCAGGCGATCCTCTTGCCTCAGTTTTTTTCTATTTTAGTAAAGGTGGAGTCTCACTTTTGCTCAGGCTAGTCTTGAACTCATGAGTTCAAGCAATTCACCCGCCTCGGCCTCCCAGAGTGGTAGGATTATAGGCATGAGCTACCAGGCCCAGCCTGGGTCTGTTTTTTTTTGTTTGTTTGTTTTCTGAGACAGAGTCTCAAGTTGTCGCCCTGGGTAGAATGCCATGGCATCATCATATCTCACAGCAACCTCCAATTCTTGGGCTCAAGCGATCCTCTTGCCTTAGTTTTTTTTCTATTTTTAGTAGAGACAGGGTCTTGTTCTTGCTCAGGCTGGTCTCAAACTCCTGACCTCAAACAATCCACCTGCCTCGGTCTCCTAGAGTGCTAGAATTACAGGTGTGAGTCACCCTGCCCTGCATAGAGACAGAGTCTGGCTGTGTTGCCCAAGCTAGCTGGGCTCCTCCACCTCCTAAATAGCTGAGACTACAAGCAAGAGACACCACCAACTAGGCAAGAATTTTTGTTGTTGTTGTTTGGTTGGGGTTTTTGAGGCAGTCTCACTCTGTTGCCCCTAGCTAGAGGAGTCAGCCTAGCTCACAGAAACCTCAAACTCCTGGGCTCAAACCATCTTCCTGCCTCAGCCTCCCAAGTACCTAGCTGGTACTACAGGCATCTGCCCCCACTCTGGGTTAGTTTTTCTATTTTTATTATTTTATTTTATTATTTGTGACAGAGCCTCAAGCTGTCACTCTGGATAGACTGCCGTGGTGTCATAGCTCACAGCAACCTCCAACTCAGGCTCAAGCGATCCTCTTGCCTCAGTTTTCTTTCTTTCTTCTTTTCTTTTCTATTTAATTTTTTTTTTGAGAGAGACTCACTATGTCACCCTCAGTAGAGTGCTGTGGCATTACACCTCACAGCAACCTCAAACTCTTGGGCTTAAGCAATTCTCTTGTCTCAACCTCCCAAGTAGCTAGGACTACAGGCGCCTGCCACAATGTCCAGCTAGTTTTTTGTTGCAGTTGTCATTGTTGCTTAGCTGGCCTGGGCTGGGTTTGGACTCACCAGCCTGGGTGTATATGGCTGGTGCCCTACCCACTGAGCATGGGTGCTGCTACCAGTTTTTCTATTTTTTAGTAGAGACAGAGGGCTCATTTTTGCTCAGGCTGGTCTAAAATTCGTGAGCTAAAGCAATTCACCTGCCTCAGGCTCCCAGAGTGCTAGGATTACAGGCATGAGCTGCCACACCCAGCCAGTTTTTCTATTTTTAGTAGAGATGGGGTCTCACTCTTGCTCCGGCTGGTCTGGAACTCCTGAACTCAAGGGATCCTCTCACCTCAGCCTCCCAGAATGCTGGAATTACTGTAAGCAGCCAAGAATTTTTAATGTTATGGGGAAATGTGACCTATTGCTATCCTCAGGAGAGTTAAAAGAGTATGTATTGAATAATCCTTTTCTAAAAGATGTAAGTGCATATTCATGCATAGAAAAGAGACACCAGGATATTCACCAAAGCATTGATACCAGTTGACTGGAGGTTTGTACAATTTACCACACGTAAATTGTATATCTATTTTTTTGTTGTTGTTTTTGTGACACAGTTTCATTTGTCACCCTCCAGTGGGAGTGCCATAGCATCATAGCTCACAGCAACCTCAAACTCTTGGGCTCAAGTGATCCTCCTGGCTCAGCCTCCAGAGTAGCAGGAACCATAGGTGCCCAGCACAAGGCCTGGCTTTTTTGGGGGGGCAGGGCGAAGTTTTTGGCCGGGGCTGGGTTTGAACCCGCCACCTCTGGCATACGGGGCCGCAGCCCCGAGGGCTGGCTTTTTTTAGCGACAGGTTGTGGCTCTTACTCAGGCTGGTCTCCCAACTCCTGAGCTCAGGCAATCCATCTGCCTCGGCCTCCCCCTGTGGTGGGATTATAGGCGTGAGCCACCTTGCATGGCCTCAATTTTTTTTTTTTACAAATATTAACATTGCTGATGTATGATTCAGGTGAAATTAGGGGTGATATTATTTTTCATTTTGTTTTTCTGTTTTCCAACTTGCCTGTAGTAAATATGTTTTATCTCTTGTAGACAGGTAACAAAGTGACCATTTTTTTCTTTTTTTGGAGCTCTTTGGAGGATCTGGCAGCTCCGTAAGGGCCAATGTGCACTTTAGCCGTGTGTTGCGGGGAGAGGCTGCTGCTTGGCCCCAGGTTCCCCCAGCCCCTTGACCAGCCAACTCCAGCTGGCTCTGCCACTTACCTGTCCAGAACCGGCTGATTCTGTAACGGCCCTGAAAGCTGCAGTTGCCTTTGTAGAAGATAGGAGAACCAGGAACCAAGGGCGAGAGAGGGACAGGCCAAGGTCACTTGATAAGTGAGCTAGGTAATTATGGCTGGTATCTTTCACCCTGTCTTGCAGAGCCGTTCCTTTCAGCCACCACTTAGGAGACTGAGGCGGAGATATGGGTGGTTCGCCCAGGGCGGCTCTGTCCTCCTTTCCCCCGGCCTCCTACTGCAAACAACACTGCCATTATTGAGAGTGGACGGGTGTGCCAGAGTATGCCTCTGCCATGCAGTTCTCCCTTCCACCCTGTGAGGTCTACAGATGAAGACGTCAAGGCTCAGGGAGTTTAAGGAACTCATCCTGGGAAATATAGCTAGTTACATGGTAGGGGATGCAGGGTTCCAACCCAGGCGAGCCCAGACTCCAGCTGGGGAAACAGGCCCTGAGGCCAAGGTCCAGGGAGGCCGAACCTCACGAGGCCGAACCTCACAAAGCCAGGGAGTCTGCAGCTCCACGCGCTCCACGCCTCTTTATGCCAAGAGCTGTCGTGGGTAGCAGCGCCGGGCCGGCAGGGACTCAGCGTTGCGGTAAACGCAGGGCAGAGGTGTGGGGGGACCGCCGGGCAGCGGCCAAGCCCCGCGGGCGCCGCCGGACAGTTTCTGTAAACACGGGCGAGGCGGGGCGGGGCGGGGCTGGGCCGGGCCGCAGCCCAGCATTTCCGGGGCCGCAGCGCTGGACCTAGGGTGTTCGCCGGAGACTCCGCTTCTCCAGGAACTGCTACGGGCCTGAGGACGCTTCGGGCAAGGGCCGCGCCGTGGGACCTGAGAGTGCGCGCATCCGACTCTCTGCAGGTAGGGAGGGCGGGCGCCGTGGCCCGGGAGGGGGCGGACGAGGCCACCGGCCCGCACCTCCCGCCCGGCCCCCTTCCGCGAGGCCACCTGCGAGCTAGCTGGGCGCCCCACCGGGAGCCTGTTGCCTTGGCAGCACGGAAGGGGCCCCGTTCCCTTGGCTGCCGGGCCTTCTGCAGAGCCGGTGGACGCGCCTCGAACCCCGCCGGCTCCCACCCGGGAGTCCCAGCGCAAGGACGTCGTTTGGAATTCGGCAGAGGCCGGGGCGCCTCCTCAGTGTGGCGGTAGCTGTAACCTCTGAGTGCCTCCCTTTACCAGGGCTTCTTTCTCCGCGCTGGGCGGCCAGGTGAACGCGGAATGGGAGGGAGAGGAAGGCGGGGTCCGAGATCCAGGCTCTGTCCAGGCTTCTTCCAGCCATTCTGCTCCAACCAAAAGTCTCGGCGCCCTGGGTCACGGCAGGAAGGTCAGCAAATCTCTGCTCACGTTCCTTCGTCTGTAATGCGAGTGTGTTACTTGAGTTAAGAACCACAGGATTCTTGTTAAGGCTCGAATGCCACAAGGACTGGGAAACACAATGAAAAAAACTTTTTTGGCACAGTTGATTTAGAACTGGAAGAGATTTAGAAATTACCTTGTCCCATCCCCTCTCATTTTCATAGAGGAAACTGGACCCAGAGAGATTAAATTACTTTAAATTACTTCCCAAGATGACTAGTGAGTTGGTGGGAAGGTCAGGATTTGGACTTGGCCTCCTTGACTTTTAGGGCGTGGTGATTTTTTTTTTTTTTCTCTGAAGCTCCCGGAATCTGGGCTGTGTGTCCTTGCACCTGGAGCTCAAGCTTTTGTTGACGTGTGATGTAAAGATGGGCACATTGGCAAAAGGTGAACTAAACATGGGAGGAGGCTGCTGCCTTGGGGAGAGCCGAAAGAGCCTTCTCTCTCCCTGGGGCATGCCTCTGGGGCTCTTGCATTAACATAGTATCTGACAGGATTGCCTAGGAGTCAAGCATTCAGTGGCCCTGCAAAATGCCACCTCTTCTGAAGCCAGCAAAGCCCTGAGCCTGGACCTGTATGAGAATGAAAGTCCTTTGGCTGCCCTACAGCAGGCAAGGGGGGGGGCCTGTACTCCCCCATCAGCGAGGTGCCTTTTCCTTTGAAAAGAGTAATAGGAAGGTGGGAAAAGAGATCCGAGAAGGAAAACTTGAATGAAGAGCTTGGAAATGATTGGACATAGTCACCTGCAGTGGAAAACCCAATTATTCATTTAATAAACATTTCCTGGGTAACTGCTATTTCCAAGCTCCACCTGCAGCCTGGAGATTAAAAACCTGAGTTAGAGCTCAGTGCCTATGGCTCAAGAGGCTAAGGCGCCAGCCACATACACCTGAGCTGGCGGGTTTGAGTCCAGCCTGGGCCCACCAAACAACGACAGCTGTAGCCAAAAAAAAGCTCAACGTTGTGGCGGGCACCTGTGGTCCCAGCTACTTGGGAGGCAGAGGCAGGAGACTTGCTCGAGCCCAGGAGTTGGAGGTTGCTGTGAGCTGTGATGCCATGGCACTCTACCTAGGGCAATAGCTTGAAGCTCTATCTCAAAAAAAAAAAAAAACAAACTTGAGTTAGGTCTGATCCCTGCACTCCAGGAGTGTGCAGTAGAGATGGAAGAGGGGCGTGCATTGTGTAAATGAGTACTTCCTGGGAGTCAGAACAGAGGGCAGGGAGTCCGGAGCAGTAACCCTGGGAACTTTGCAACATGGGAGAACTTCTAGAGCTCTGCCAGGTTGGCCCTGGGCTACCTTTGTTGGAAACAAAGGAATGCGTGAGTGAAAGTTTCTAAGAAATGGGGTTGAGGCTAAGTATTCTGTGGAAAGTAGATCCTGATAACTGCCAGCTCTGTGGAGGTAGTGACCATGTGTCCTTCAACTTAGCAGTGCTTAGGAGGCAGCAAGCACACAGGAAACACCTGTTCGGTGGATGCAAGAAGGGTGCAGTGGCACACCTGTGGTCCTGGCTACCCAGGAGGCTGAGGGAGAGGATCACTTGAGCCCAGGAATTTGAGGGTACAGTGAGCTTTGATGATGCCATTGTACTCCAAAAGAAAGAAGGAAGGGAAGGAGGGAGGGAGTAGAGGAAAAAAAGGAGGAAAGAGGGGAGGATGGACAGTAGCTTTATCAGCAGAGGAGTAGGGAAGCTATGACTTGAGACAAAAACTGGCCAAAATTCTGATTGTAGGTAGAGTGTCTGTGTGGATTATGGCCCGAGTCCTGACTTAGCACTTTGTGTGACCTTAGCAAGTCCCTGAACCTGTCCTTGCCCCAGTTTCTCACTTGTGAAGTGGGTCTATAAAAACTCCTATCTCACCCTGTTGTGAAAATCACATGATCAAATGTAAAAAACTGAGTACAGTGCCCTGCTTACATAATAGGAAACTACTGGCCAGGTAAATTCCAAATTCAATGTAGGTGGAAAGAGTATGCCACATGTTTCACATCAAGGTTATGTAACTATTCTATATGGAGGTATAATTTCTTCTTACCTGATAAACACTAATTTTGAAAGTTCTCTGTGTCTGCAGGCTAACATATCTTAAATAAATGGTTCTTTACCTTTTTGATAGGGGAAGACTGATGGCAAGGAGCTTTTTGAAATTAAAGTTCTGACTGCCTCTTTCCAGAAGAGGCATATTCTTGGGGCCCACATGTCCCTGAAACCTACCCTTGGGGTTAAGGGGCTTCCTGCTCTGCTTCACTGCTCACAGGCTGCAGTGTGGGGACTTAGGCAGCATTTGTAGAGGTGGCTGGGAGGAGCAAGCTGAGTCTGCTCTCTTTCAGGGGGTTTGGGGGAACTGCAAAGTGGGAGAACAGGAGAAGAGCCCATGGAGCTGGGTGGTTGAACTCCTTAGAACTCTCTCCCCTGCTAGAGCCAGTCTGAGTCCACTCAACCTCATTGATCACTCACAGGGCATAACTGGTGCTACTGGGAGAGACAGGGTGGCTGTCTTGGACCCTTGCTCACCCAGGGATCTTCAACACTGCTCTTTAACACCAGCTTTTTGTGAGCACTGTCTCCTGATGCCATTGCTTTAGGGTGGCAAGTGGATACTGTAACCAGGGATGTATTCCTTGAAGCCACTACCCTGGCAAAGCAGAATGAGAGTGCAGCTCACCTTTCCATCCCCGCATCCATAAGTATGTGTGGGCATACCTATTCTTTTTTTTTTTTTTTTTTGAGACAGAGTCTTGCTATATAGCACTCACTAGAGTGCTATGGCATCACAGCTCACAGCAACCTCAAACTCTTGGGCTGAAGCAATTCTCTTGCCTCAGCCTCCCAAGTAGCTGGGACTATAGGCGCCCACCACAATACCTGGTTATTTTGTTGTTGTTGTTGTTGTTGTTGCCATTATTGTTTAGCAGGCTCTGGTCGGGTTTGAACCCGCCAGACCCAGTGTATGTGCCCAGCGCACTAACTACTTAGCACAGGCGCCAAGCCAGGGCATACCTATTTTTGCCCATTCTCTGGGGTCACTTTGGCACCAAGAGCAAATCTCTGTCTGGGAGCAATAGTGGTGGCCCCAAGATGACCTGGCGTGACTGGGAAACTTCAGGGTCAGAGAGCCCTTCCTCCCCAGGAAGGAAGAGGCAAGGGGAGCGCCTTGGGCCTTGGGGAAGGAAGGTTTATTTCCTATGGTAGAGGGAGGGCATCCTCAGAGGGCAATGCCAGGGGTCTGGGATGCAGAGTGGGATTTTAGAACGAAGAAGTCAGTGGTAAATCAAGCAGATAGATTTCTGACTTCTGGGGATCCTTGGAAAGGGGCCTGAGGAGCTGAACTGGAAGGTGAGGCAGCCCCTCTTAGACTCTTCCCTTTCTAGCTTCCCATCCCCACCTGGCCTAGAATACCTACCTCCCATTGTGAGTGGCTGCTGGTGGTTTGAAAGCAGGAAATAAAAGTCCCCAAGCAGTCATTGTGCCCCTTTGGGGTGATAGGTACTGAGCATCTGCCAGGCCAATGTCTTAGGTTCCCTTGGCCCCCAGAGGGGGAAGTAGGCTGGGAGACACAGGCAGGCGGGGGATCTCCTGCGCTTGTGTTAGGGGCAGGGGAGTGACAGTGGCAACTTCATGTTCTACCTTGTCTGTTTGAGCAGGACAGGTTGGGCCCTGCTGGTTGCACCACAGCCCTATGGGGCAGGGGGATCCCCTCCTAGGGAGTGGCCAGCTCAGGCCCCAACAGGCCCCAATGGGAGTGGTGCTGGATGGCGGGCTTCTCACCACAGCAGGCACACCCAGGCTTGGGCTGGGCAGGCTGGTTCCTCCCTGCTATGAGAGATGCAGCCTCAGCACCAGGTTTGCATAAGGCAGCTGAATCTGAAGGGAGAGCCCAGAAGGAGGTTTGAGGAGATGGGCATCTAAGATAGTTAGAAGTTGTTAATTGGTCAGGGCTTCACGCACCTGTAGTTCCAGCTACTTAGGAGGCTGAGGTGAAACAGTTGCTGGAGCTTAGTTCAGGGCTGGCAGCCTAGGCAACAATGCAATAGACCCCTGTCTCTTAAAAAAAAAAAGTGGCTTGGCACCTGTGGCTCAAGTGGCTAAGGAGCCAGCCACATATACCTAAGGTGGTGGGTTCAAATCCAGCAAGGGCTCGCCAAAACAACAATGATGGCTGCAACCAAAAAATAGCCAGGTGTTGTGGCGGGCACCTGTGGTCCCAGCCTACTTGGGAGGCAGAGACAGGAGACTCGCTCGAGCCCAGGAGTTGGAGGTTGCTGTGAGCTGTGATGCCACGGCACTCTACCCAGGGGGACAGCTTGAGGCTATGTCTCAAAAAAAAAAAAAAAGTTGTTGAGACCATGGGCAACTTTTCATGAGAGGTGACCCTATTGATCACAGAACAAGCATGGCCTTGCCTGTGGAGCATTAACTGCATGCTGCCACTGCTAGTCACTTGCAGACATTGCTCAGCAGTTGTGACCACTGTGAAGTGCTGTGAGCAGGCCTGTTTGGGACAAGGAAGCTGAGGCTCAGGTCCCCCCAAATAAAGAAAGGTTCTGACGAAAGAAACTGTGTGCTCAACCATTGGATTCTGCCATGCACAGGAGTACGATAAACCAGGGGCCAGTGCAGGGGAATATGGTTTAGAAAGCAGAGATGAGGCCATTTATTTCCATTTGTTGCCAGACCCTGATTAAAAGCTGTGTGTGAAATTTGCAGGCTATGTAAGTGCTGCCCCTGGATGGATACCCTCCACTGCAGAGGGCAAGGCTCTGTCCCAAGGGAGCTCCCAGCCCTCAGGACCTGGCAGCCATT